TTTTAAACATTGCCCTCAAAGCCAACTGGCAACCTTTTGTTTTGGGCTGTATTGAATTTCGCATCCTTTCTGGTGGCCAGGACCACATCACAGAGGTTTGGGAACTCGTAACGCTGCGTAAGCTGCTCACACCATCAGCTGTGTCAGGAGGAGGGAACTGGGGTGCCTGGAAACACATGGTCTGGTTAACAAATCGCATTTCCCAGAGCTCCTTTTTGCCAGCACATTATCCTCTTCCCCTTCCCCATCCCCTCTGAATAATCTTTACTACAGGCTCCGTCCTAGCTGACATTTGTGGAAGCAGCAGAGAATATTCTGCAGGGAACAATCCTGCGTTGGCACAATGGGGAGAACACGAGATGCTCTAATACGCCTTTTCTGTCCCTGTTGCCTATTTTTAAGCTGCTTTGTTTTTGGAATCCCAGCTGCACATTTGCTTTCACAGCCTCTGTCCCTTTTCCTAGCACATCATCTTCCTGCAGACAGAGTTTTTGTCCCTCTGAACCCCCACCCATGCTCCTCTTGCCCTGGACCACACTCCCTGGGTCTCTCCTGGCCAAATGCTGCTTTGCTTTCCCCTGGAACATCTCCTGGCTTTCACCTCTCTTTGGAGCGGATGGCAAGTTTATTGCCCCCCCCCCCCCCAAAAAAAAAAAAATTTTTTTCCCCCCCCCCCCCAAAAAAAAAAATCAAGCTTCTCTGCTTCATGCAGGGTTCTGTAATTAAAACCCAACTGAGACCGTGTTCTGCTCAAAGATGCTGGGTTTGCAGGGAGGGGAGGATCCTGCAGCAGAAGTCACAGCCCCAGCTGGCTCTCCCTGTGCAGGGGGTGACTTTTTAAAATTATTTTTCGTGTCTTCATGGACATTTTAGTTGCCTGCATCTGTCCCAGAAGCTCTGTGGTGTTGCAGACTTTTCTGCCCAAGCAAGGGTATGCGATGGAAGGACTAACTGATGGAACAGACCGCTTGAGAGGCAGGACAAGGCAGCGGAAAGTCATCCTTCTCTTGGGCGGAGGAATGAAGGCAAGTGGCAGCTCAGCCTTGGTGACCTGGAGCAGAGCTGGCCCTGTTCTCTCCCCACTCCAGTCCCTCTCTGTGCCTCAGTTTCCTGGTGGCAGATGGAGGTGATGAGGTTTGGCCAAGCATCAGGCTGCAGAGAAAGGAGGAGGCTTAGCTGGGGGCGGTGGGATGGGAAGGGGTCAGCTTTCTCTTTGGTTGGATGCGATGTCAGAAAGCGAAAATAAGAGAACTGCCGGGTGGAAGTGAAAGGGTAGAACTTTCCAGATCCCCTCTTCTTTTGCCTCAGAATGAAATTGGTATTCAGCGTGGCTGCTTGTCTAGACACCCAGCCTTGTAGAGAGATTCGCCAAGCTCCTTAGCTCAATGAAGTGACATACGTGTGATTATCATTTCAACCAGGGATGTGCCTGATCGTGCTAATACGAGCCTGTGGAATTACTCACACCTATTAGCAACACCAGCATCTGCAAGGCGCCGTGTAATTGTGCTCCAGGCTGGGGCTCTGGCCGGCTCGTGGAGCATCTTGGACCTCGAGGGGTGGAAAAGCCCTAGTGGCTGTGCTGGTGCTGTACGCAGCAGGTTTGGTCTCTGAGCGCTCAGTGGGGTCCATCCCACCAGGAGGTGTCTTTTCTAAGGCTGCTGAGTTTCCAGCCCTCATTTGTGTGCAGAGGGACAGGGAGGTGAGCATGTTGCAGTTATCAGCAGGTGGCTCAGGAGATGTAGGCTCAGCCTCCAGTTCGTGCATTAGCTGAGTGGGAGCAGCTCGGGCTCCTCCAGGAAGGGATGGATTTCCTTTAGAGCATTTTTAGGATGCAGACGGTTGTTTGGGTTCGGTGTTGGACTCCAAATCCGTGCTCGCTAGCAGGCTCTGCTCGTCTCGGTGCCCCTGGTCACCCCGTGCCCATCCAGCCAGGTGGGCTGTGCATCTCCATCCAAAGGCAGAGGGGCTTCCCCCAGAGCCGAGCCCCAGACGGGCGTGGGAACCTGCGTGGTGATTTCAGAGGCAGGGCTGGTGTTCATTTCCCAGCTCTTCTGAACGCTCGTAGAGGAAGAAAAGCAGATTTGAGTGACAGATTCCCGGCACCGGTTTTCCCAGCAGTAGGGAAGAGGGTAACAGGGCTTGTCATGTCTTACAAAACTCTTGCAGTATAAATGGATGTGATTCTGCTCTGTCTGTATTTGGCTGTTGCTCGTATCTTGGTGACCTGCCTGTCCCCTCTCTGCCCTGTCTGGCCGCTCTCCCGGCCGCAGAGCTGAGGCTCTCAGCAGGAGTGGTGCAGAGCATCCTCTCCAAAGTACTGCCACCTTCAGCAGCCGGTTGGCATTGTGCCTGTTTACCAATTTTTTTGCCCTAAATTCCCCACCCTTACCTTCTCAGCCATAATGCTAAATTTAGCCACAACATAATTACACAATTTGCTGCCTTATGTAATCCAGAAGTGCTGTTGGAAAGGGGTTTCAGGTTGTTGCTGCTCCTGTGGGATGTAAATACAAAACGTTATTGCTATCTAATCCTTTATCTCTGTGTGAAAACTTCTGGATAGTGTGTTGATGCATCTTGCGTTCTAGATATTAGGGAAAGCAGGAGCAGAGTCTCTTCCAGCAGAAATCGGTATTCAGCGTTGGCTCTGCTATTACCACGCTGATAGACAGGAGTTGAAAATCTGATCCTCTCGGGAAGTGGGCATTCATTGCAGCTCCTGGGGTTCGGCAAGGGGCTGGAGCTTTTGCAAATAGGAGAGCTTGGGATCTGGGCTTTCGGCTCACTTACCGCAAATCCGGGATAAAATTGGAAACTGATTTCTTGACTGTGTTTTTTTTTCCTCCTCCTCCTTCCCAGCTCTCTCCTGTGGAGTTCCCAGAGCCCCAAATAACGGTGTCGTCTTTGGCAAGGAGTACACGGTGGGAACGAAAGCCGTGTACCATTGCAACCAGGGCTTCGAGCTGCAGCCCGGGCAGGAGCCCAGCGCGGAGTGCCTGCGGGCAGGGCAGTGGAGCAACGGCAACCAGCCCCCGCAGTGCGTGGGTGAGTGTGTGCAGCCCCACGGGGCATTTTGGGGGTCCCTTCAGTAGCGTCTTCCAGCTCCAGCACAGACAGCTTTGTCTCACAGGTGCAGGATTTAGGACACCAGGTTTCTCATCCTGCATCCCGTGGGTCTGCTGCCCCCTCCCACGGTGGCTGGGTTTCCCACGTGTAAAAGAGATGCTCATACCAACCCCTTGTTAAAAAACCAGCGTGCTTGCTGAAATGCCCTGGAGTTAAACACCTATTAACGTCTTTCTGTCTCATTTCTTTTCCCTGGCTTACCACATCTGGATTTTAGCCGTCACCTGTCCCGATATCAACAGCATCGCGGTCGAGCACGGTCGCTGGCGGCTGACCTACGAGATCCAGTACCACTACAACGCCCAGCTCATGCTCATCTGCGACCCCGGCTACTACTACACGGGCCAGCGGGTCATCAGGTGCCAAGCCAACGGCAAGTGGAGCATCGGCGAACCCATGCCCACCTGTAAAAGTAAGAGCCGTGGAGCTCGGGAGCCGCGCCGGGGCGGGCAGCTTCGGGGGGTGTCTCGCAGGGAATGGGGGTTCTGATTGCCGTTCGGTGGGTGTGCGAGCTCGGCTGTGGGCGTGCGGTCACACCGCAGCCCTGGCTGCTTTTGGCAGCATCTGAGAGCGCGGCTGCTGAAGTGCTGTGGTGTCAGTGTGGATGCAGGGACAGGTCACCTGCTGATGTGCTTCTTGGTTTGATCAGTTCTGCAGGAGCTCGGCTGTTGCTGTTGGGTCCCAGCAGCTTCGCTGTCACCGGCACCAGGTGCTCTGAAGTTTGCTTTTAAGAAAGAAAATTTTAAAAATACTGATTTGAAGCCTAACCTCTTCAATTTTGTGCAAACACCAAGTTTGCGAGGGTAGCAGGGTCACCTGTAAATCAAAACCACTCTTGGCAGCCAAGCAGCTTGCTCAGCCATCGACACGACTGCAGCGCTTTGGCTCTTTCCTTTTCTCAGAGGCGGAGCTGTTTTCTCTCGAAGTGCAGACTGAGACAGAAAAATTTCTCCTTCGGAATGGCAGCTCTCCCTTCCCTCCTTCCTTTGTTTCTAGAGCTGCAACTGCCGACTTTGGTGACAGATGCAGTTTTACCCCTGCTGGCTCTTCAGCCAGAGCCGGGCGCGTGAGCCTGACCTCGTTTTATTTCTTCGGCGTTACTGCCACCTAAATCCAAATGACAGCATCTTGGCAATGCACGAAGGTCAGAAGCACCTGGCGTGAGGCTCTTGATTTCTTGCTGAGTGCAAAAGCTTCGGAGGGTTTGCAGATCTTTAAGGTGGATAAAATACAGAGCTGCAGCCTGTGCTGGGAGCTGCGTTCGCCCCGGCTCCTGCACCCTGCAAACCCGGCTGTCGGCTGGGGGTCCTGGGGGGGGCTGATCCCCCATCAGCTCTGCCTGGGAGTCACTGTGTGCGGAGGAGCTGGGTGTCACTTTCCAGTTGGAAATCTTGTGCCGTTTTATGGCTTTTCTGGAAGTCAGGCTTCCTGGCTGAATCTAGCAATGGGTTAATAATAGAAATATTCCTGTGTTAAAAAATTCTTGTTTGATAGTTTCTTCTTATCCTCAGTACTTCCCCCGCATCCTGAAGCATAAATATCAATAGCACTTAGATTTGTCACCTCATGTAACACGACTCAGAATCGTTGTTAATATCCATGTAACTATTTAATAATTTTTCTTACTCATTCCTGACTCCAGTAATAACTCACGGTGGTGAGCATACCTGACTGCACTTCTTTAAAAATCACACCTCCCAGGCTGTCCTCCCTTACTGTGCTTTGGGATCTCTTTCAGTTATCTCCTGCGGAGACCTGCCAACCCCCCCGAACGGGAACAAGATCGGCACGCTGACCAGCTACGGGGCCACGGCCATCTTCTCCTGCAACACCGGCTACACGCTGGTGGGCTCCCGCGTGCGGGAGTGCATGGCCAACGGGCTCTGGAGCGGAGCAGAAGTCAGATGTCTGGGTAGGTGGGGAGGATCCGTGGTGCGGTGGGGAAAAAGTCCTGATTTCTGCAGGGAATGGGAATTTCAGTTACTGATGCAAGACGGAACCCAAAGGAGGACTCGGCGCTGCTGAAGCCGGCGGGGTTTTAAGTAGATTAAAAAAAAAAGTAGATACAAAGCAGCCTTTGATTCCTTACTGCTCCGTACATGTGAGGTGTTTGATGGGAGAGGAGAGCTTTCAAGATGCTGTGTTGTTTTTACTGCTGCTCTGGTTTTATTGATGACTGCAGAGACCCGGAGATCGGAGAGGCGGGGGGGTGGGATGCTGCAGAGGGGCAGGCGCGGGCTCTGGGTGATTCTCCTCGTCTCCCTCCCGCAGCGGGGCACTGCGGCGTGCCCAGCCCCATCGTCAACGGGCAGATCAACGGCGAGAATTACAACTACCGCGGCAGCGTGGTGTATCAGTGCAACCCCGGCTTCCGCCTCATCGGGATGTCGGTGCGGATCTGCCAACAGGATCACCGCTGGTCCGGGAAGACGCCTGTCTGTGTGCGTAAGTATGTTGTCAGATGCCTCTAGCCCTGGTGACAGTCAGAGGGACAGGAGCACACGCAGAGCCGGTGGTTTGTTGTTTGCACGCCCCGGCTGCGTACGGGTGCTTTGCACGGACACGCTGCACGAGCATCCCCGGGGTTCGCTGAGGTGTGGCAGGAAAGGCATCGCTGTGATTTTGGCTGCTTTACTTTTACAAATTTCCAAAATTCCACCTTTTTGGGGGGTGTTTTTTGTATGCTGCATTTCTAATCCATGAGACCAGTTGAAGGTTTCTGAGACCCCCCATTATTGGGGTGCAGGGAGGTCAAAGCAGACGCAGCCCCACCAGGCACCCCGCAGCTCTGGGACCGTGCTCTGTGCGGGGAAAGTCAGTCTCCTCCTCTGATCCGCATTCACAAGTCACCTTGCACAGCCTGCTTGCTTATCTTTCCAGTAAATAAGCTAATTAAGTAAGTCTCCAGAGCTCTAAGGTGTTAATAAGTTTAAGCATCTTCTTATCAACGGACAGTGCAATCCGTGTGTTTCATATCACGATTGTCCAGTTGTTTGCTTCCAGTCTCTCCTGTCTGGCTTGGCAAGGAGTGACCTATAAATCAGTGAACATGCAGCTTCCAGCCTAAAAATAAGAAACAAGCTGAAGTTGTCAAGGTTAGCAGTGACTTCAGAATCTGGAGGATGACTATGAATCTGCATGAGGTTTTTAGGAAAAGAATTATTGGAAAGGATGTCTCTGGGTCTGCAGGTGGGTTTGAATTACTCTCGTGTCTGAGGATGCTCTGTTGAAAAAGTTTTAATTCACTTTTACCTGCCAAGTATATCCATACCAACCTTGGATCAGGACATCATATTGATAGAGGTCCTCCTGCTGCCAGGAAGATTCATGGAAATGCAGGATTTTCTAAACATCCATTTCCATGGCTCATCTTATTTCTTTCAGGAGGGACCAAACCCTTCAGAACAAAGCAGGTGAACGTTGCTGGTCTGTATCTGTCTTCTCTTTACCGGACCAGTACGGGACTGGTTCCTGGGCGGTGCCTTTGTTGGCTCTGCTTTGTGCTGGCTCCTGACTCCGGCACCTGAAAGCCCGCCGGGCTTGTGCGCAGAGATCTGTAAAGTGTCTCATGTGCAGAAGTTGGCCTTGAAGTTATTACCCTACATTAGACCTTACGGATAACATAAATTTAACGTCGTTACAGCGGAGCACTGTTGGGCTCTGAAATTGGATGCCTTGAGGCTTTATTGCTTCTGAAGAGTCTCGGGGCACTGTGTGTGTTAGCACATTATCATTTCCTATTGTCCTGATATTTTCCCTTTAAACCTGCTGCAGTTGCTCCCTCTGAGCGAACGAGTATTTTTGATCCATGCCAACTGCAGGGAGCTTTTTTTTTTCTGGGACAGAATCCATCACCTATTTCAAAACATGGATAATCGCATTCAGAAGTACCTCGGAGAGTCTGACATCTGCTTCCCGCAGCACTGAACGGCTACCTTGCTTCGTATTTTTTAGACCTGTACCTGCCACCAGCTTGCCCAAGGCATAAATTCCCATCCCTGTGGTACCATCCAGCCCTGGCAGCCAAACGTGTTATGGATCTTTGGTGGGAATTTCATCTTCCCCTCTAGCTTCTGGCTTTGGCAGCTGTGCAGCTCAACGGCTGGTCTTCCACTGATGGACCATTGCCCCGTTTTGGCGTGACAGTGATCAATATTGCTTTGTCCTCAGCTGTCGGAAGATGTCGCGTTCCTTAAGCAGCCAAAAATTCCCTGCGTGGTGTATCCTGATGTTTCTTCTGCGCAGTGGAACTCGCTGCTGTGCTCGTAGCAAAGGTCTCCAGGCTTTGCTCGGGGCAGGGGCTGTGTCCCCCCTGTATCACCCGCCTCTGCCTGGGTACCAGGCTCTGAATTTCAATATTTAGTGTGTTTTTACCGCTGCTCCAGCCTCTGCACCTTCCCTGGGCATTGCTGGAGCCCCTTTAGCCCTTTACCTCGTCGCTGGCCCAAGCTAACAGCAGCCACAGGAACAAGAACGACACAAAAATCTTCATTGCAGGGATTTAGAAATGAAGGTTTTTTCCCCTGAAGTTTTTCAAACTTAAAGCAGGAAGATTTAAGCTTTCTAGGCCATATGGTAGAAACCTGATTTTTCTCATGTTTTTCCTCTCTATCCCTCCAGGTGTAACTTTATAGTGCAGCGAGCATACATCTGCCTTACACCAGGGAGAGGGAGGAAAACATCAGGTTTCATGACTGTGTGATGCCCAGGGTAATGTAAGGCAATAGATTAATAGCAGTAGCTGGGAGTTTTGAAGAAGAGCTCTGGGGGTTTACAGTACAAGTCAGTAGGATGCTGGCACTCGGCTGCTTCGAGAGCAGTTCAGAGAATTCCTTATGCCAGTAAAATGAAACGTACCACGCTCTCAACTTGATTCAGTATTTCAACAGAGCTGGCCACAAATCTTTGAAGTTGGTGTGGGTTTCAGGGTTGATCTGGGTTTTTTGGTTTGTTTTTTGGGGTTTTTTTTTTGTTTTGGGTGGTTTTTTTTTATGGTCTCCTTGTGTGGGAACTTTTTCCAATGGATAATCCACTTTCTTCCAGGCAAAAGAGTAACATCTCCCATTTCTGATTGTAGCCATCACTTGCGGCCACCCCGGCAATCCTGCCAACGGCTTGACCCAGGGGACTCAGTTCAATCTGAACGATGTGGCCAAGTTTGTGTGTAACACCGGGTACCGCCTGGAAGGAGCATCGCAGTCCCAGTGCCTGGCCAACGGCCAGTGGAGCAGCACCCTGCCCGCCTGCCGCGGTGAGTCTGCCTGCGCCCCGCTCCCGGAAAACGGGACTTGACCATGCCTTCTGCAGTGATTACTCTGGGTTCCGAAAATTCAGCTTGATAAATTCATGAAAACCAAATCTTGCAGTTCCTCGGGAATGTGAGTGATGGGTGAACACCAAGGGCTGTAGATCTCATGCAACAAACCCAATTTTCCTTTGGGCTTTGCGTAGAGCTGTTAATAGACCCTGCCCAGCCCCGCATCCTCCAAGACATTGAAGTGTGTGTTGTAAGTGGGGGGGGACACAAGAAAATACCAAGCCAGGCCCTTAGCAGAGGGCATCCTGGTGACCCTAGACCAGGTTACTCAAAGTAGACACCACGTCTTTGCACGGAGCCCGTCCTCCTCCTAGGCTGCCCTGCTTCCCCTGGTGTTAGCACTCAGGTTCACTTACCAAATTCCCTCCCCTCCCTGCACTCCCTTCCTCTGTCCTCCCTTAGTCCCGTATCTCTGTCGAGACTGTTGCTGTTTCGGGCAAGAAATCAGTTATTCTCAGTCTTGGTTTGGGGCCAGAGAGCCAGGCTCTGCTGCTGAGCCTCGCGTGGCAGGGCGAGAGCCTGCAGCTTGCCTCTACTCTCGGTTTTTTCTTTTTAATAAAGATTTGTTCTATTTCTGCCCCAAAGAATATTTAAAAAAAAATAAAAAATAAAAAAAAAAAGAGACTTAAATTGTGAAAAATGTGACTTACAATCTTTTCCCCTTTTCCTGCTCATTTTTGGAGAATCCTTTGTTCTTTGTTACACCCTTTGTTTTGTATTTTTTTTGTTGTTGTTGTTTGTTTGCAGTTGTAAACTGTACTGACCCCGGGCACCTGGAAAACAGCATCCGTCAAGTGCAGCCGAGTGGTCCTCACAGATTCAGCTTTGGAACAACTGTCTCATATCAGTGCAGCCATGGATATTACTTATTGGGTACACATGTCCTTACCTGTCAGGGGGATGGCACTTGGGACCGTGCCCTCCCACAGTGCCTTTGTAAGTTTTTCAGAATAATACCCATCCGCCGCAGGTTCCATCCCATGTAGCCCTCCCTTGTTTAGCTGAACGGTTGTGTAAAAAACTTGGATCCAAAGCCCTTTGTAACCCATGGGAATCATTCCATCAGCTTCACTGGCCTCTAGATCCTGCCCACAGAAGGAAAATAGGTCTGGGGAGAGAAATCCTGGCAGACAGCGATGGTTTCCCTCTGCAGGGGAAGGCGGCTCCCGCTGGGTTTTACTGGTTCTGTGCAGCGCCGGCAGAAGCTTTGCAGGTGGCGAGGGGCAGCAGAGCTGCTGCAGCACGGATCTCGTAGGAAGCAGCGTGCAATCAGCCTGAGCCAGGACAGGGTTGGATTTAGCACGGCTGAGTGTCCGTCCACCCACTCGTCCCCGCAGCTTTGGGGGAGGGAGGTGGCAGCGTGGTGGTGAAACCAGTGCAGCCTGTATTCTGCTGCCACGCAGGTGATGAAGAGGATTTGCTTCCTCACCTCTGTGCTTTTCCCTCTTTCTTACTGTACCCTTTCTGCTGTTATTGTGGTTTGCAGATAGAATTAGGAGGGTCTGGGGGATGGTTTGGCTGAAGGGGTGTTTCCAGTAGCATAGGAAGACACCAGATGCTCCCGGTTTACGTGCAGTGGTAGGAATACCGTGAGATGTCCAGGAGTTGTAGGAAAGAGTCAGTGCTGGTGTCCCTGTCTCTCACTGAGGGAAACCAGGCTCCAGGGTGGATTTGGAGCTGACACGGGGCTGCCAGCGAGGCAGGGGCAGGAGCAGCCCCCAGCACAGCTAGCATCTCCTTTGGGAGACTGAAGCAGCTGCGATCTCGTTACCCGCCGTAACGAGTCGCTGAAGCCATCAGAAGTGGAGCTCCTTGAGTTCGAACCAGCTGAGCTGTTCCAAAGCCATGGTTGTTGCTTTTTTTTTTTTTTTTGCTTGTGTTATCCTCCAACACCTAGTCATGCACAGTAGTTTTCGGCACATTTTCCTTTCCTTTTATTAGCAGCATGCCACCTTCTCGTGTTCGCAGCACCTTGCAGGGGCCATGGGGAGCTGACAAGTGCTAACCGCGTGTCACCGCAGCCGCAGGGGCTCCGGGGGGGTGCTCGCTCTGAAAACCGGAGAGCTCGTATCTCGGGCTCCCTCGGTCCACGCCTGTCTAGCTCAGGAAAAGTGATCTCCGTTCTTATAACGTTGAGCATCCATTGACTTGGAGGATTTGTGGGCATTCTCAAAGCTGGAAACTCGGGTCAGTTTGATGACTGATCGTCTGGTTTCATGGGCTTGATAGTTTAAAGAGAAAAAAGTGAAAGATTTTTGCATGTCTTTGTTTTCTGCGTGTTGAGCTGAAGATGTGCTCAGTGCTGAAGCCCATACCTCTTTAACGTGGCTGGGTACCTAAAATTACCAGGCACTTCCGAAAACATAAATTAAGAAGGTTGCTGCCAGCTGAGCTTGGGTTGCGAATGTTGTCTCCTGCCTGTCTCTGAGGAGGGAGTGAAACGGAGCTGATCCCATTTGAGGGGTGGGAGAGCGAGTCCAAGAAGTAAAGCACGCAGGAGCAGAGCCCAGCGCCGTCATCACACTGTGAACATAAATCCTTTAAACACCCCAGCACCGCCACAGGTTTTAAGCTGAGCTGAGTCCGCTGGAGTGTCTGTTATTAAATTGTTAGTTACAGGGTGAGTTTCAGCATTAGCTATCAAACCCGTTTCTTTGCAGAGCGTCCTTGGTTTTAGTCACAGCTCTGCACCAGCGTATTTCAACGCCCACGTGCCCAAACATCCGCGTGCTCTCCTTTTTATTGAAACATACATCATGTTTTCTACCTAATGCCGCCATCGGTATTTTTAGACTCTAGCAGAGGGAGAGAAGATATCCGTTACGGACACTTCCCTTCAGAAACCAAGTGGAGCATGGTCTTCATGCTGAGCATCCTCATCCCAACCTGTCTAATAGCCCCTGGATCTGTCAGTGTATTTGTCAAACAGCCTCCCTGTCTCCGCTCTGATTGCTAAGCTAAAGTAAACCTATTAATTATTGTTAGCGGTGGTTTTTTACTAGCAATGGTTGAGTGAGCAGCGCTCCGAAGCTGCCGGGATAATTTGCTCAGGTGCGACAGAGCATCGATTGCAGCTCTGTGTCGCAGGACGTGGTGCTGCCGGGGCGGGTGGGGGTGTGCGTGGAAATATTCATATTTAGGAAGGGCTGAGTTTTCCAGGGACCCTGCAAAATGCCCGTCAGTGTCAGCACTAGGCATTTGTGCACAAACCCTTGGCAGTTTTACAGGCTGAGCTCACGATGCAGGGTGTGCTGTGCCCCACCTGCACTGGGGCAGGATCCCCGGGCGCTCGGTGGGCTCTGGGGCCGGCAAGTGGGTTTCAGCTGCCGGGGTCCCAGACAGTGACCTCAAACCCGCGGTAATTTGTTCTGTATCTGCCTTCGAGCATCCCAGGCAGTTTCCTCGTGGTTGAAGCTGTTGCATCCGTCTCTTCCAGTGGTCTCCTGCGGCCACCCCGGCTCCCCGCCCCACGCTCAGATCTCGGGGGACAAGTACACCGTGGGCTCCGTGGTCCGGTACAGCTGCCTGGGCAAGCGGACGCTGGTCGGCAACTCCACTCGCATGTGCCAGCTGGACGGGCGCTGGAGCGGGTCCCTGCCGCACTGCTCAGGTGAGGTGGGCTCGGGGAGGAGGGGATGGGGGGTCCCACCCTCCACTACCCCGTTTTATCCTGTGAGGGGGCAGCCTGGGGGGGGTTTGTTGAGCTGGAGAAATGCACACGCATTGGTGGAAGACTCTGACTGTGTCTCAGCTATCTGGTCTCCTGCAACTCGGATGATAAGCGCTGGCAGAGAGGGAACCGCTCAGCTTGCAGGATGAGAAATAAATCACTGCAGCAAATGGTGGTGGTAGGAGGTGTGCTGCAGCCTGCTGCTTTACAGATTTCTCCACGCGGAGCCTGTATAGGATGAATGTGTCCTGTGCAAAATGAGGTCCTTGCATCCCGCCTGCAGCATCTGACTCTTTCTCGTGCATTCCAATAAAAGAAGCCCGTGTGGCCCCTTTCCAGGGCCTGACATCTGCTGTGATGGCACCGCAGCAGTGCCGGGTCTGCACGGGGCAAATGGAAGCCGGTACAATGAGTTTCCACATCATCAGCACCTCCCCTGAGAGCAGTTTGACAACACAAGTCCATGCCCACTCCCAGGCCAGAGTGAGAAAGGTCTTCCACGGAAAACATCCCAAGAAGCGAAACAAGTCCATGATGAGACAGACTTGGGTCAAAGTCATGGGGGATGCGCGAGAGGCGCTCGCCCAGCCTTCCTGAACTCGGGGTGCTGGGATCTCCGCAGATGGCCTCCAGTGGGAGGAAGGGTGCTGGGTAACTGGCAGGATGCTGTGCAGAGCCCTCCCCACGCCGTCCCTTGGAGAGCATGGAGGCAGACGAGATGAGAACTTAGCTGGAGCAAAGCATTTGGGACAAGGGTTAATTTTTAATTATGCCACTTAGATTTAGCATCTCCACTTGACCAAGTTTAACCTCTGCTTTGGAAGGGAAAAAGACATCAGACGGAGTCATCCTCCTATTCAGGAGCCGTATCTGCAGAGTTCTTGATCCGTAGCAGCTCGGAAGGGTTTTCTGCTCCAGTTCGCGCCTTTTCCCCGTGTGGTTGTCACTGTCTCTCCTGTCGCTCTTGTGGGTGGATTTTTGGAATCGTTCAGCGTCACTCTGTTTCCTCCTGACATCTGCTGTGTGGGGTTTTTCTGAATGGCTTCAAGGCGACAGCATTAGAGCGAGGCTGGTGGCATTGGCAGCCCCTCTCTGATGGGGGCCAGGTGGGTGCCCGGTGCCTCGGAGCCACGAGGGCTTGGGGAGCGGCTCCTGCTTTACACCCAGCGCAGGTGGTGGTATTACAAAAGCATTGAAGGGTGAAGCCTTTAATCACATTCCTCTGCTTTAACAGCAGCAAGAGCACAAAAAACCCAGCCCAGAGCCTCGTTCCCCGATGCTCCCGGGTCCGTGCCCTCGCTGGAGCGGGAAGCAGCAGAGGTCTGTGTCTGCTCTGGCTCTTGCCTGGGGGGGTTTTTTCGAGGCCCCTTGCCCAGAGGCGGAGCACGGCTCGCATCATCTCCTGCCCAAGGTTCTCCGCTGTGCGCAGAAGATACCTACGGCGTGACAGCAGTTTTCTGTGAGATGAAACAAAAGACTTTGATATCAGTCATTATGTGAAAGAAAATGCTGAACCTGGAGCGTTTTCCCCCTTCTCTTTACAAGCAGGTGCGTTCCCCAGGTGATGAATGCGCTCGTTATGTTTGATGTTCCCGGTGACTCTGCAGAGGCTGTACCTGCAGCAAGGCTCAGAGGGGCCAGGAACCGGCAGCTTCATCGGAGCTGCAGGAGTGAAATCGTCTTTCCTGGCTTGGGGTGGGTGTGTTTGCACAGATCATTAGCAGAGAAAGCCAAGAACAGGGTGTGAGGAGGTGGGCAATTCTCCAGCCTGCTCCGGAGCACCCCTGCGAGGCATCTGCTGCAGCTGCTCCCCTCCCTCCTCCTGCCCCCCCGAACCTACCGCCGGCAGCTCCAAGTGTTCGCAACTTGTACGAGCGGATGTTTCCCAGCTGGATCCCTCCCTCCTCTCTGCTCCAAACCCAACCGCTTCTTGTTCTGCAAATACAATCGGACTTGCTGAGGGGGCTTGGAGAACGTCGTAATTTCTGCTCGGAGGGAAACCGTTCACTTGACTGATGCTGGCAACAGAGCCGCTGTCTGCGGGAGCAGCTGCCGTGGAAAGCGGCTGCAGCTGGTCGCGGTTCTATCTTGAGATCCTGGAGTTATGGCCGTATTCTGCAACCAGCGTAAAACCAGTGGGCTCCCAGAGTCGGAGAACATTTCACGTGGAATTTCCTTGCTCTGCTGAGAGCCAGAGTTAAATGGAGTCGGCCACTGATCCAAATCTGTGCTGGCCCTTGGAATAGCTGGGAAGGAAGAAGGGCCAAACCCCATGACTGGCTCACTCTGTGCTCTGTTCCTACCAGGAGGCAGCCAGGGCTTGTGTGGTGACCCAGGGATCCCCTCGCATGGCATCGGGCTGGGCGATGACTTTGACGTGGGCAGCGTGGTGCGGCTCAGCTTACACGCTGCGGGGCTCCTCCGAGAGGACCTGCCAAGCCAACAGCTCCTGGAGCGGCACGCAGCCGGAGTGCGAAGGTACGTTTCCAACCCCACGTCCTCTCCTGCGTGACACCGAGCCTGCTGGAGGTGTCCCCAGAATCACTGCAGCAGCGTCAGCAGCCCAGGCAACCCATCCTCTCCGTTGTAGGTGCCAGGGCCAGTCCGGTGCTGCGAGGATTAATGCTCTTGTTCAGCATTTCCTCCAAATACTGTGTCTGTCAGGGAGCCTCCGTTCTCCCCTGTCCCAAACACCTGCAGGTCACACCTCACAGGAGGGTTTTTCAGTGCTAGAAGGTGACTGTCACCTTTTTGCATGCTCCGCTGTGCAGGGTGCACCGGGATGGTGGTGTAAAGGGTTTCGGATCGTTCAGGCTCATGCCAGCATCTAGGCTGAGGTATAGGAAGAGCCTTTGGAAACTGCTCCTTGCTTCCAGCCATCCTCGCAGGCTCGCTGCAAGAGTCGCTGGGGTGAACATCTCTTGGTTTGCGTCGCACATCCAAGGAGGTGATCAGAAATGCCCCGGTTCGTGTAAGGTCTGTGGGTCCGGTACCACTGGGTAATTCATTGCTGCTTTGTTGAGGAGATTCATCAGAATGAGAAACGTCAATAGCTTGGAACTGGCACATGCAAGAGTCATTTACATCAAGCAGAAACACAAAATGCAAATTATAATCCAGAAAGCGTATTTTCATATTTGAAAACCCCAAACCCCCTATTTTTCCATTTGAAGGAATCAAGTAAGACCCTCTAATCCAATCTAATAAACCCCCAGCCGGATTCTCTGAGCTGTGCTGCTCGCAGCCGCTGTTTTAGAAAGTGTTTAAAAATCAATTGGGGAAAAAACAAAAGCCAAAACGAGGCAGGATACCAAATGCAAGGAGACCTGGGCAAGTGCTTCTCTCCAGCTGATTTGAAAGCCAAAAGCTCAGAGAGAGCTTGTAAATGAATTGGAAATTTATTCCAAATTGATGGAGCTCTTGATTGAAAAGACACTGAATCATGTTATTAATACACTCAGGTCTCGGGTTTTTTTTTCATTAGCTGTTTCTTTTTTCTTTCCGCGGAAAAGCTCTGTTCATTAATCTCAGGATAAATAACCCGTCAGGTTCCACAGGCACCAAAATACGGATCCCTGGCAGATTTTTTTTTTCATACTTTATGAATAATAATAACATTATGCCTATAATGTAGTCATTTAATGTTAAGTGCTGACTGGCCGGTGTAGGAAGGTAATTTGCGGTGATGAGCAGCGTGTTCCGTCCCCATCGTTTGTATTCACCGCGAGCTGTGCACGCTGCAAGGTGTTCTGCCTGCGCTTTGGGTGTTGGGTTCAACTTTCTGGAGCTGGTATGTACAGGAGAGGGAGGGGAGAGATGAATTTCGGGATTGAATTCAGGATGAATGAAGAGGAGCCGTTCTCTCCATCTCAGAGCACGCTGCCGTGATCGGTTCAATGACAGAGCAGCTGCTCGAGTTTGAAGTCATGGGGCTGATGTCCCAGCTGCCGGTGTCCTGCGCCAGGACCGGCTCTGCCCCGCGGAGGGGACGTGTGCGGCTGGCGGGAGCACTGGGCTTCCCGGGGGGTCACCTCCAGGCTCGTCGGCTCGCAGTCATAGAACCATAGAATCACAGAAGGGTTTGGGTTGGAAAGGACCTTAAAGATCATCGAGTTCCAGCCCCCTGCCATGGACAGGGACACCTCCCACAGCAGCGGAGTCAAACCTTTCTTGTGTCGGTCACGTCAGCTGAGCATCACCTCCTGCAGCATCTCCCTGGTAAAGCAGCAGCAACTCCAAGAAATCCCCATCTGATGCAGCTCATTTTTTAGGTCATTTTCTTGAATTTTTAGTTCAATTTACAGGTGACTGGGTTTGAGATTCTTAAGGAGACGTGAGCAGGTATGACTGCAGGACTTCCAGGGTGGTGAGGATTTATACCCTCTGCAAAAACCAGTCACAAAATGAGTTTTCTTTTGGGAACTGATTTATTTTATATCTCCCACTGAAACCAAAGGGAATTATTTACCCGCCTACTGCTCCCTTGCATCATCGCATCCTGTTTATATTTGAATTATGATTTTTAAAGTTCAAACCCTTCATCCTTACATTTATGGCTTCGTTTATCGCTAGCCGATACAGGTCGCAGCTGATGCACGCTGCGGTTAAACCATTTCCACGAGTCTCCTTGTAGTCACAAAAGTGATATTTTTGGGTCACCTGCGTGCGCTTGGCCCCCCGCGTAGGTGGAGGAGGTTGGGCAGGAGAGAACAGCTGATGTATGGGCAGGCAGCGAAACAGTAATTTAGAGCTTTTTCTGAGTTGATAGAATCTGACTTTTATCCCAGCATCTCCTGGAAATGACACCGTGTATCACAGAGACGTTGGCTGCATGAGAAACCCGTAACGAGAGCGCACCTCGGATGGTTTCAGTGCCGCGCAGAGCTGCCGTGCGCACGGTCCGGGGTGGTTATTAGTTTCCTCCTGTCAAACGGATACGCCTCCGACAAGCTCGGGTGTTAACAGGCTGTCAGCAAACCAGGCAACGAGGCAGAGGAAGATTCCTCTCCTTGCGTTGGTGGCCTGTGCTCCTTGCTGTCCTGCTGGAGCCTGGAGTTGTGTTTCCCGTGGAGGAGGATGGCTGGAGGAAGGCTGGCAGCAGCGTGGGGGGTGTGCTGGGGAGGGGGCTCAGGGCAGGGACCCCTCGGGTATGCACAGAGCGATGCTCTCGCAGAGCTGGTGGCACGTTGCTGGGGAGGAGTGGGAGCCAGGAATTTCCTTATCAAGGAGCTGGGAGCCGTGCGGTTTAAGCCTTTCCTTGATTCATGTGATTTTCTTTTATGTCCTGTAATTTCAGGGTAAATGAGGGCTGGGTGCAATTATTGCAGGTGCTTGTTTTGTCCTGACAGGGCTTTGTGCACCGCTGTTCACTCCGGTCTCCTTTTATTGCTTTGGTGCTGAGGTACTTGAGACATAAAACTTGGGCACTGACATACCTATAATGGTATTCCCCCAACATTCCCCCTCCTCCGACAGCCTAATGGGATGCAGCTGGGCAGTGAGCAATGCCCAGGGAGAGCAGCGGGTCCCCTTGCTGCTTCCGTTCCTTTGAAGTCTCCAAGTTGTCGGCTTCCCGAAGGGGCCAGCGGCAGAGCAGCACGCTCGGGTCCTGGCTCCCAGGCTCCTGGAAGATGGAGAGACTCGAGTTCTTCCTGCAGCCTGGAGAAGGTTGCTCCTGGGCTGGGCTGTTGGGACAAAGAGCAGGATATCCCCCGGAGAGGAGTGGGGCTGGTGCTTCCGGGACTGACTGGCTGCAGGGATGGAGATACAAAGAGCAGGATATCCCCCGGAGAGGAGCGGGGCTGGTGCTTCAGGGACCGACTGGCTGCAGGGATGGAGACTTTTCAGTCCTCTGCCGGGGATGCTGCACCCAGCCTTGGGATGTGCTGCCTGGCGAGATGGAGCCCTTGCTCCGAGCCGGGGCGTTGGGGATCCTGTTGGATTGATGTCGCTGGTTTTCCACAGAATAGCCTGTTGTGTCTGCGCTCAGCCAGGGGCTTTGCGGCTCATCTTGCTTTTATTGAGAAGAGTCAACTGCAGGGTGAAAGCCTTGGGGTTTGGTTTGGGGGGGTGTTATTTGTGGTGGTGTTTTTTCTGTTGTGGGTTTTTTTTTTTTTTAACTTTGCCATTTTGCTTTCTAGTTATATCCTGCGGAAACCCAGGAACCCCCAGCAACGCGAGGGTTATATTTAACGATGGCTTGGTCTTCTCCAGTTCCATCATCTACCAGTGCCGGGAAGGCTATTACTCCACAGGGGTGCTGAGCAGGCACTGCACCGTGAACGGGACGTGGACTGGGACCAGTCCGGAGTGTACAGGTGAGCGCTAGGATGGATTCCTGGACAATGAGATGAACGATGCTGCCAGGCTCTGGGGACGGGTTGTCAGGGCGTGTTGGATGCTTGCTGTGCATGTGCATGGTAAGGGTCGGTCAGATAGAAATGCCTCTTTCTTTTTCTTTGGCAGTGATCAACTGCGGCGACCCCGGCATGCCCGCCAACGGCGTCAGGCTGGGCAGCGATTTCACCTTCAACAGCACGGTGGTGTTCCAGTGCACGCCCGGGTACATGATGGAGTCGGACAGGGCGTCGTCTCTGACCTGCACAAAAGACCGAACCTGGAATGGCACCAAACCTGCCTGCAAGGGTAAGACTGGCTGCTGTAAATATTGGAGGACGCAAGTTTTACAGGCTACAAACTTTTTGTAACTTGTGACACTAGGCAGCAGCTATTGCATAGTGCCCAGAGCCCACCTGGGAGTTTCTCTGTCCTGTCGTTCAATCTGTCCCCTGTGTTTGTGGCATTCATGCAATTTTATCAACATAGCATGGACACCTTGCTATCTTCAGGTCTACCAGTCACCACAAAATGCCCGGGAAGGAGGCAGTTGCTATCATCCCTGTAGTAGAGAAGGAAGAGTGAAGCACTGAGAGTTAGGTGACTTACTCTTCACAAAAGCCCCGATCAAACTTGAATGAAATATTGTGTTTTGCAGGCGCACGCTTTTTGGCATCATCTAGAAGTCTGAAAAATGTTTCTTCCAACTCCTTTCATGACTTCTCAGTTCTGAGATTGCCTCTGTAGTTCGGAGATAGGAAACGGAAATAATAGAGCAGCTGCAAGACAGGCTGGATCTCCTCTGTGAGGGTTTTACTCACCCACCAAGTGTCGATAAGGCTTGTAGCAGCATCTGTGTGCTGCTTTAGCAGTCTGGAAAATTCACCTGTCATGATTCTGATATAAATGCAGACCACATAGAAACTTCCAAACACACTCCAGTTCCTTCAGAGGCTGTAAGGAGCAGTTCTTACCCTCCTCACTCATTCTCTCGGCTGAGCCAATGTTGCAGGAATAATACAGCATGTGGCCAGAGTCTCGTTTGGAGGCCAGGCTGATTTGCATCTTTCCCAGCGCTCCCCTGAGCCGAGCAGCAAAGCACTGCAAAAATGTCATATTAGAACACCCTCGAGTGGATGAATTACAGGCTGGTTTTTGATTCAGCAGCTCATCTGAAACCCAGACGGATTGTCCAAAACGTATGAATCTTTCAGGGAATCTTAGATGAGTTTTCACACTAAGGCTGGGTTCTTACCTTCGGCTGGAAATGAATGTCAGCTCAGAAATCTGACTTTGAGATTGATTTGCTTAACTCCAAGCTTCAAAGTAAAATCCTGGGGTTTACAGCTGTATGCACAGCTGGAAAAGTTTGTCCAGCCCCCTGCTAAGCCAGTCCCAGGAGAGCAGAATGTAACTTTGATCCTACATGAATTTGCTTGTTAATGGAAAATAACTATGCCGAGAAGTCAAGAAAACTGTCAGTGCCTTTGTTTTTCCTTCAGCTATCATCTGTAAATCCCCCCAAGCCATCCCCAACGGGAAAGTCGTGGGCTCAGACTTCAGCTGGGGCTCCAGCGTGAGCTACGCCTGCCTGGAGGGGTACCAGCTCTCGCTGCCCGCCGTGCTGACCTGCGAGGGGAACGGCACCTGGAGCGGAGAGATCCCCCAGTGCTTCCGTGAGTGCGCAGCCGGGTCCTGCACGATGCTGAAAACCCACTTGTTTGATGCCCTCTCTCCAACATCTCTGGTCTCCATGTAGCTGATTTTAGCTGGCAATTGCCTGGCAGTATCACGGAAGGGTATAGAGAGCCCATCAGTACGTGAAAACTTAAATATCTGGTGGCTGATAAGCCCTAAGCCCGAGGGAAGTCCTGCATTAACTGAAGGCAGAGGGAGTTTTCATGCCAGGAGAAAAGCGCAAGGATGCTCAGAGTGCCTGTAGCCAAAAGTCTGAATGGCCGTCAGCAGCCAAACTGCTGGAACCTTGGTTTGGCGTCTCTGTAACGGGGAGACAGGGGTGGCCATGGGGATGCAGTCGGTCACTCCACCTCTCATCGCAGATCTGAAGATCTTGCATGTTCCAGGCATCTCTAAAATTGGCTATTTGTCCATGGGTCTCCCCAGTGGCTGAGTCCTGGAGCTGCCAAAGGCTGTAGGGATAAACCCTTTGGCATGGTGGTGTTGCAGCAGAAGTTGGGAATGTTTTGTGGAGGCAGAGCTTTGGCTGGGTGGAAACCTGTGTGCTTGATACAATAGCTAATGCAAAAAAAAAAAAAAAAATGAGTTAAGTGTCTCATGATGCTAAATAAAGGCAGATTGGGGTTTCTTTTCCTGGCTGGATGGCTGGCAGCTGCACAATAGCCATTTTCATATTAAATCGCACAAAGCCCTCCGTGTGTTCCTCGCACCTTTCCCTGGATCTGGTGTAATTAGTGGGCTTTCTGGGTGACATGGAACCGTATAGCAATTTGACATCATGCAATTAGAGATACATTTTAAAGCTAAGCATGCTGTTAGGGGGGAAAAAAAGAAGGAGAAAAAAAAAAAAAGAAAAGATGGGGGAGAAAGCGGAATTTAATTAACAGCAATTGACAAAAAGAGAGAATTACAAGGAAAGTAGCCAGCAACGCCTTCTGCCACCACTAATTCCCTAGTCAATCGCAGAGTCTGGTGGTGGGGAGTGGTAAGGTTTGGGCCGTTAACAGACCCATCTTTAGCTTATTAACGTTGCTCTTGAGGAGGTTCATCACAGTCCCCTTGTCTCTTGGCCTGTTGCAGCCGTGTTCTGCGGAGATCCCGGGATTCCCGCGCAAGGCAGGAGGGAGGACAGAGGCTTCACGTACCGTCTTCTCCTGCTTGGCCCCGCTCGTGCTGGTGGGGTCAGCCCGGAGGTTCTGCCAGTCCGACGGGACGTGGAGCGGGACCCAGCCCAGCTGCATAGGTAAGGGCAGGCTCTGTCTTGCATCCACAAGCGAAGAGCTTTGAGGTGTCCTCTTGCTTTTCTATTTGTAGCAAAAGTTGGTTTTCTTGTCTGGGTTTGCAGAAATTAGCACTTTGTTTCCCTGAAAATCGGAATGTGTAGGGATGATGCTTTTGGTCTGTGCGTGCTGGCGGGTGGTGAACAGCCCATCTCCTGCTCTCGGGGCTCGCTGCTGAGATCCAGCGCCTGGCCCCAGCGTTCCTGCCCCTGATGGTCGTCGATACGTAATGTATCCGAGGAAGATGATCTGAATTATATCCAGAATGGCAGAGCAGCATCGCCGAGAAGTACGCAGGTGCTGTATACAGGGATCAAAACCCTACAAACGGCTTTGCCTCGCTGCAGTGTTGGGATTCAGGCTGAAATCGCCGCGCGTTCTTCAGGTGCCTGTTTTCTGGGACTTCCAGAACCCTTTGAAACCTCTGGGAGGTGTATAATCATTAGTCACAGCATTCTTCACCTATTTAAACCTCTGGCTGTGTTCTTGAACTCCAGGGCTGCCGTGGTGACACACTGCACGGGCTGTGTGCCGTTATCCTGACTGTGCCTGAACACCACCATCGTCACCTTATGGGGGCAGCTGGGGCAGAAGCAGGTCCCAGGCTGTTCTCCATGGTTTTCGGTCATTCTAGCTGCCTCTTAAATGCATCACCAGTTACAGTGATGTAAAAATCCTCATGGCCTTGAACATCCATGTTCAAGCTCCAGCTCCCTGCTAACGGAGCTCCCCCAGCCGGGCACCGGAGCATCCCTGGGGCTGACGTTGGAGCTGAGCTTCACCCTGTGATCGTAAGGAGCAAGGAACCTGCTGCTGCTGAGCTGCCTTTCAGACAAACGTCAGTTTCCTTTGCTCGGTTTGGGATGCTGATGTTAAAGTGCTGCATCTCCGCCTTAATTCCATTGATGCCCTGCTACTGTCAGCAGGCAGGGGAAAAAAGAAAGTGATAGATGCTGGGAGAGCAGCAGCAGGTATTCCTGCT